TTCGGTAAATTGACTTCTGAAGACTACCATCTTCTAGGCGTTGCATGACAATGTCAAGGAAGTGGAACTTTCCATCATTTTCATGTTCCATAGTAAATTCAATATTTGTATGTACCTCGTTGAATAATCTGAGTAGGTAGGAAGCATGACTTTCATTGCTGCACACTACAAATGTGTCATCGACATATCGATAGTAGGAAGTTGTTTCTTCAATTGCATGCTTCAACTTTGTTTTCTCAAGGTTTGACATGAGGATATATTCTAAAACAGGGCTAAATGGACTGCCCACAACTACACCATCTATTTGGCGGTAAAAAGTGCTGTCAAACTGGGTTGCACACCCATGGTACGTATTAGCGTAGACGTTTGAATGCCGACTCTGGGAGTAAGAGAAGATCAGATTACTGACATATGATGGTTTCACTGATCGGGATCGTTGTGAACAAGGGGGTTCAAATGACGCCATGAACTTATTTGAAACGTTCATGTGGTTCACACTTTTGGCGAAATGAAATGAGTCTTTCATGGTATGCACGGCTAGGCGTTGATGAATGGGTTCCAACTTCTCCATAAGGCAACAAGCAGTCTTATGTTGGGGGCAAGTTGATCATCAGAAGTACAGATGTCTCGGGGGGACTTACTTTTTTGTGTCTTTGGAAGGCTATACACATACGGCAAACGGGACCCTAGGGGTTTTAATTCATTGTACATATTGTTGTCAGTTAATTTCCTCCTTAGATGATCTCTCAGTACGTTTGTGATACGTTTTTCAGTTGCATCTGCCTTATCTTTCTGACGCTCGTCAACTTTAAACCTCAATGGGTCATTTAGCACAGTTTTTCATCTTTGCGATGTAGTCATGTTTGTCCGTCTGTGCCACTCCTGAGCCTTTGTCAGGTGGCAATATGACGATGTTTTCATTATTTTTGAGAGCTTTCAATGCTCTTTGATGCTTTTCAGAGAAGATTTTGGAATATGACGTTGATGAAATGAGGTATTGATTTGCAACGTCAACCAGCTTTAGATTTGAACCAGCTCCTCTTACCTCATCAAATCGAATTAGGTCATTCAGGTGATAGAATAAGTTTTCGAATTGAGCTGTGACACCGGTTCTTTTGACAAGGTTATTTGGCATAAGAAAGTCAAATCCAAGGGAAAACGCTCCCATTTCAATTCGATTCAACTTCAGACTCGACAGATTACGGAAAAACTCCTCAGGATTTCCTGGGAAGTCTTCACACAGTTTCTCTCTTGTTAGGGATTTCGACAAAGTCTTATGAAGATTTGCACATGTTTTCTGTTAAAGCTCTTGAATGAAAGAGGTGAATTTGATCCGGCATACTATATTCAAACTATTGACGACACCATCGAAAGATCGGGCTTCAATTCTCAACTTTGAAATCAGAGATTCTGTTGATTCAATGAGCGATTTTGTAACACGCTGAAGATTTTTCAGAAATCCTATTTACGTGTGTGTTCAGAAAGAAGCAGTTATCAGTCTTTCCTTCTCCGCTCCGGTAACTAGATGTCTTCACTGTCTCTCTTTCTTTTGATTACGTAATCTTTGGCTTTAACCTGACCCCGTTTGATGTAGTGTAATTTTGCTTGTCTCTTGTTTCTATGATTTGAGGTGAACTCAGTACATTGTTACCCAATGTATGAGTCATTCATCTTCTTACGCATCTCTCGTCTTTATTCGTAACTCCTTTGCTTAAACTTGAACTGCCTGTGTAAAGCTATGTAAGCGTAATTTTCTGAGCACTGTTCACTAACTCCGGAACCTCCGGTCAACTGACACCACGTACATAAACTTCATGATAATTTATTTAGGCTGTCAGCAAGTGATGAGAAGCCAGAGAAATAAAAAAAAATGATGTTACCACATTATTCTGCACAAACCACTGTTGCCGTTGCTTTATTCTTATTCATCAAGGGGAATAAATGTATGCGGTTTTCGGAAACATTTCTCTTATGGTTGTTATATATACCGCGGAAGCATGTCTTTTAGTTGGAACTATAAACTACTTTATAGTTATTGAAGTCCACAGGCAAGAGTAAAAGTAAAAGCTCAGTTGTTCTCCGTGAAAATTATCAGCCAATTTAATACAAAGAGAAAATCAATTACGCATAGAACTAACTGAAGAATGAAAAATCTTTGCCTTGAAAAAAATAATAAATAAATAAGTGTGTAGGTAGGCGTAACATTACAACACAGCGACAATGACATTCTTTCAGCAAATACACACACACACACTCACACCACTAACGAATGATAGGTATTATTTTTTAACTTAGAGCACTGAAAAGAATGTTGTGTGTGTATGACAAGGAGTATAATTAGTTGATGTAGGTGTAAAAAGCTTCTTGCAATAGTACCCCGCCAATTATATTACAAACTAACTACTACTTTAAGTGCACAATGAAGAAAGTACAAAATCAGAGAGAAAACTGGATAATAGGTAAAAAAAGAAAAGAAAACAAACAAAACAATGGTGTAAAGCGTAGTATGTTCTCCACTGTCTTGGATTAGAAGTGAATTAATCTTGAAATAAGTCACGTAATGTATTTATATCATACAAATAGCTCTTTATTATGTATATGCCTGAGCTAACAAACTGGGGAATCATAATCAACAGGGTATATTTAGTCCCTTTAGCCTAACTTCAGCGTCATCTATCAAAAGGCTTTAAGCACATATGAATGCTAAGTTGAAAGTGTCTATGACCATAATAATATAACTGTGTCTTCAAAACTACCCACCCGTATTTTGCGTTCGGGAGTAAAAGATAAACTGTCTAATTACCCCTCTTCCATATGTATCTACGAATTTATCTGCTCCTGTGGAGCCAGTTACTTGCATAGGCCGTGCAATTAGGTATGTTTCTCGTTGGATTTCTGAACATCACCCTGAGTGGTTAAGTAAAGGACAAACACAATCTATTCGTAGCGCTATTATACCTCATCTCGTGGATACAGAACACAAGATTGATGTTAACGAGGCGGTTTCAAAGTCATTTACATCATACCAACAAATCTTAACTTCGCCTTAAGAGTTCGTTTACTGCATATTGCTGAGGCTGGCTGTTGGGATCCACATTAAGAAGCCTAACTTATGTGTCCAAAAGGAGCTATTTGAGACATTGTCCTTACCGTGGTTATCTAGCTTTGAATGATCCTCAATTTTTGTAGAAATTTCTCTAATTTTAGTTGATATTCTATTTGCTATTACATATTTATTATTATTATAAGTTTAAGCATCTTTAATGAACTGTAATTCCCTTGATCTTATTTTACAAATAGATATTATTTAAAAAACACCAATATTGTTATTGACTACTATTCTAGAATATTCTATGTATATAAGCATATATATAATTGTAGAGCCAGAAGAGGCAATTATCGAAAAGGATATTCTTTGCTCAAGTATTTTGTGTTTTATAGACCATAATAATGTCGAAATTTTAAAATAAAACAAAGTCAATGAGGATGTGCGAGGATGGAAAGGTTTAAAACACTTTTCAATTTTGATGATCCAGAACAACAACAATTCAACAGAAGATATCTTTCAGAAAATTCCCTCTCGATGATTGTGGAATATAAATCTTATACTTGAAGTAATTTGGTGGATGGTGATTAGCAATGGAATCCAGGATGTGCATTTCCTCCCATGTGGGACTCGTCATCTGGATGTACCTGCATTTACCAGTGAGGGTCGAATCCAGTACACATCGTTTCAATCAGTCAACAGGTAAATTGAAACTGGATTATAAATCTTATACATTTAGCTTCAAAATCACGAAGATATCTAACCCACAATAATAAGCACCAATCACTATCATCAGCGGGAGAAATGTAAAGGAAGTCATCTTTTTACTCAACTAGGCAGCATCGTTATAACCACATGTGTTGCACGGATGCTGATGTTAAACCCACAATCAGAGAAGCAAGATAGGTCTTCATTACTCTATAATTAGTGTAGAAATCTGCTGCACTCTGATTTTCAACACTGATGTCAAGGTTTGGAGACTTGGTGTGTCGCCAGGAAGCACTTCGAATAGGCTGTTGTAGACTTTTATAAACAGCTGCCTTCACTTCATACTGAAGATCAGACGGTAACAGAAAGGATAAGCAACAAGGAACTCCGGCTAAGAACAAGTCAACAAATAAACCGAAGGAGAAGAAGATGTACCGGGCACCCACAGACATACACACACTGAGGAGAGAGTTGAGTGACATCTAGCGCCAGGCCCCACAGTGAAACCCGAACAGGAAATGACGTTATGGTAGAGACAATGTGAAGGGATGAGAGCTAATGGGCAATTGTGGAACCAGATAAAGAGGACTTCAAAGAACAGGAAGAAATGGAGGTGTGCTGTTGAAGCCCTCTGCTCCACTCGAAACCCAAGAGACCTGCTATTATTATTATTACGTGCAACCATCCAGTTACATTTGGTAAAGAACAACAGTACAGTACATGAGTTTGGGACACATGAATCTCAGCAATATAAACCCTTTATCCTAAAAACGTTTGGCAGATTTAGGGTACATGATGAAGCATAAATTTAATCTCAGACAGTAATACTGCCAACTAGTTGATAGTCCCCTTTAACACATCAATTTGTGCAGCTCAAATGCTACTATGATGACTTAGTACTCCTTCTAATCAATCAGATAGGGAAGATTTCGTATCTTAGACAATTCAGTTAATTAAAACAATATTTATTTCTTATCAGCAGCTGTTTCCATGTAAGTATCTCGGTGGGAACAGTTCCTGTCAACAGTAAGAAAACATCCCTTCAGATATAATGTGTTTAAAACAGATTGGAAATTATTACGGTGATCGATAAGTGATATTTGAATGCTTCGATCGAAGCCTGAACATTATGTAACTCATTTTAATAATCCAATCACAATTTTGCTTCAATCACTGCGTGAGTGATACAACATTATAATCAAAATAATAACTGTGTAATTAAAATAGACAGAGTGTAAAAACTCACCTAAAGAAGTGACAAAATGTGAATGTGCATTAAGTGTTTTATGACACCGACGATTCTTTAAATCCCAAACTCGAATTGTTTTATCATCTGAAGCTGATAACAGCAGTCTGCCATGAGGATGAAACACGAGTTGTCTAACCCAATTGTCATGACCAATCTAGAGGATAAAATTATATTATAATAAAAGTAAATTGTTATTGGTAATTAATATCATGTACTGGAAAACACATTAATGCACAACTGCTTGACATACATAATTCATAAAATTTGAGATCACGATCGATAGAAGTCCTCTATGAAACTAAAGTCTTCACTGTAAAGAAAGCCTGAGGATATGTTTCAATCTAACGAACAGAATTAACACTGACAATCATCAAATACACTAATTTGTTACATAATTTATATCACCTGTCAATATCATTTCTTCCCAAAGTTCAATAATCTACAGTTTCTGATGATGAATTTCCACGGAATTTTATGACAATTTCAAAACTTGTTAGGTGATTTATCCTTGTATGATAACTGTGAACCGTACTCAAACACACTTATGCGATTGTGTGGAGACTGTCCACTTAGGATGCTTACAGTTACAATTATTAAAATTCATGTACTAATAGATATGACTCTGGTCGACTTCAATGTTTTACGGAATGACTTGTTACTACTAGGGTATGCTTTCCCCGATCTAGAGTATAATTATGATACTGTTCCTAAGATACTGACAAAATAAAGTTTTTTGAACAGAGTAGAAATCTAAGTATGCTTGACATACTACTCGATAAATGTAGGATGACGCTGTAGAACAAGCTAGCACGGATTCCACACACAAGGATGCTGAGTAAAATAGCTGATGCATAAGCCTTAACGGATTAATTGTTGACGAAGTCTTAGTGCGGAATACGGAGAGAATCGTTTGGTATTTGCCAACTTGAATCACCTTCGGTGCAGATGTGATATCCGTTTTACTTATAAGCAGACGTGTGAAGGGAGTAGCAGTTCGCCTTGTCCTTCTTTATCGGTCTGAGTCACGACCAATAGAAATGGGAGAAATGAAAAGAGCGATTATTTTCAAATGTACGTGACTACGGTTGAACTCTGAATTTTGGTAGAGCAATATGTTCAGTTGGGTAAGCAAGCAGTCAATTGGCAAGGTTATGACACTCCACCGACTGATACTGCTAGGATGTTTTATGCATACATAGTCAGTCACAGCCTACCACTACAAGCAGTGTACACTAGAAAGACTTAGAAGTGGCCAGACAATAAAATTACAGGAACTTATGAATTCTTTGATTGTCGGTTTGAGTGAAACAAGATGTGAACACTTTGATTGGGGTTCTGATGATGTTAGGAAACAATGTCTGGGGGCTGTTGATAGCACGAATCAAATCATTTGCAACAGTGCAGATATATTAGCTTCTTTTTGTCATTCAGAAACTGGAAATCCGCACTAATCTTCATTTAGATGTTATTTTTGTCGAAGATTTTCATCTATTTTGGTTTCAATACACTTTTGTGTGCATTTTTAAAGTGTGGTCATTTTGAAGTGTTGTACTTTTCTGTACGTAGATCAATCAAAAGGAAATTACACTAGATCATATTCGCGATTTGCCAGAATTCGAGCAGTTTGAACTGATCCAACTGTCAAAAATTTTTGACTATATATTTTGATGACTAATAAAAATCCGAATAAATCTGCTGAAGAAGCTGTGGCTTACACAACGAAACGTTCAGAAAAATCTTGTTTTGATTTTGCTTAACACGCTGGGATTAATTTAAATAATTTATAATGCCAACAGTGTTGTTATATTATTATTTCATTTAGAACTAATCAAAATGTATTTTGACGTAGAATTTATTACTGATTTGTTTATTTATATCTATGGAAACAAGGATGCCTGTATTCATTGTTGAAACAAACAAAGCGAAAATTCTACTTAATTCCTGCTAAATATTCAGCAGCATGTGACGCAGAATAGAAAAAACACAACTCAGTTAACAGAAAAAAAACTACCAAATTATACTACAGAAAATCATTTGATCAAATCGACTAGGCAACGGAAAACCACTAAGGTCTATTTATTCGATATATATGTATACATATCGACCGACGTGGAATATGATAGTTAAAACTTTTCTCTCTTGCTCAAAAACCTGCTATTCACGTGTTTACGCCGTAATTTTTTTTAAACAAAAGCTTGTATAAATATAAACCGAGTGGTAGAATTTGTCTTTGACAAAAATTTACTAAAAACATACTTTTAACTTGATACGCATTAGTTCCACTTATCTTTCCAACCTCAAAATCAATTCAAACAGCTTAAGGCCTTTCACTTTTGAGACTTAGTTAAATAAGAAATAGGATTGGTTATATGACATGGCATGTGATGAAAAGGATTTCCAACAGCCTGTTGCAGACTTTTGTCAACAGCTGCCACCATCGCTGGCTGGCTCCATACTGAAGATCAAATGGCCATCCGGCCAGCCAGAAAGAATTAGCAACAAGAAACTCTGGCTGGAAACAAACCAACCAACACCCGATTGGTCAACAAATATGTAGGAGAAAATAGAGATGGATCGGTCATACGCCGAGGAGGCCGTCGAATGACATCGCGCGCCAGGCCATAGCTCGAGTGGAATCCAAATCGGAAGCGACGAGTGGGTGGTTAGTGAGAGGGTGACATGGAGGAGATCGTGTGAGGAAGAGATAAGAGACTATGGGCAATCGTGGAACTGGAGGAAGAGGACGGCAGAAAATAGAAGAAAGTGGAGATGTGTTGTTGAAGCCCTATGTTCTACTCGGAACCTAAGGGAATAATAATAATAATATTATAATAATATGACATGGCATAAATAAAGGTACAAATTTGCAGGTTCATTTGCCGACTTGACGTACAACTTATTGCTTATAAGCATATTAATGTCACTTGGAAAATAACTCTGAATAGGTGAAGACAACAACCAAATAAACAAGTTTACATACAACAAGATGACATAGTATTGTGTATCTATGGGAATACAATACAGAGGGGATCTGAACTAACATTAGGCAGCTACTCACCATTTCCTAACCATTTTATTGAAAGGTGCACTATGAGTTGTAATACCTCGAGGAATAATGTTTCTCACAGCAAATTCTGACAGGTAGTTTCAAAGTTGACAGAAACTGTACACTATTGTTTGCAATAGAATAATTATAAAACAGTCTATATATATATATATATATGAACTAGTAGGATGAAACAGTAAGGTTAGGATAGTAAAGCATAATGCTATTTCAACTTACAAGAACAAATAAGCATACTCCAGTATTTACATCCCAAAAGCGGATAGTCCTGTCTCGTGATCCAGAAACAAGTAATAAGGCAGCAGACATACTAGGCGGCGAAGAATGTGAATCATTAGGTATTCCATTTGTTGCAGAGGACATGACCAATCCTTCTGTAGTGGCATTTGCAGAATCCCCACCTCCAGATGTGGAAGTGGTTATTGCTAATATGCTTTGAGGATGAGAAGCCCAGGTTATGCATTCAACAACATGTTCGTGACCACGAAGAACTACTTGACATTCTCGTGTTTCTACAGACCAAACTCGAATAGTTTGATCATTAGAACAACTTGCCAGTAGATTGCCTTCTGGACTTGGACGAACCGATCGAATCCATTCAGTATGACCAGTGAATGTCTTTATGCAATATCTAGAAATGGTTTAGAGACAACATCGGATTGAGGTAAATAAGCAAAAAAAGTTGACGTAATGTTTCAAACAGACCAGACTGATCAAATCACATCAAATATGAGGAATGCAAACCCAATGAACACAAAGTCAGCACGAAAATGAAAGTTACCGGTGCAACTTTTTTACGTCTAGCATAGTAAAAGAACCTCCCTTCGAACAAAAAAATCCGGTTTCTAAGAATTATAACCACATCTCTTTTTTAACAGTGATAGAGACAACAGTGCCACTCTCTAACTAATAAGGTTAAAAGTGACAGGCTTGATTATTGATGAATAAATATTCTCAAGGGGATTCATCTTGCGGACATCAAAATAGGAAGTAAGGACTAAAAGAAGTTTTCAACTAACAATTCCTGATATTTCCAAAAAAAGAGTCTAGAATCCTGTACACAGCTGCATCATTTATACCAATGGTTATGTATTTTATAGATTAATATGCCTGTCGTTTAAGTTGCATCAAAATTTGTTTATGTAGATCACCCTTAAAATAGAGACAAGTGTGAATGTATATTGAATGCAATCAGGAGAGCCTAGAAAACTAATAAATGGATAAACTTACTAATTCTAGGGAAATATTGTTTCATATTCTTAAATTTTTCCCAGTGGTTTACCCAAGTAGACAACTAGTACAGTAAAGCCTAAAATGTTGTTAAGCAGGCATCATCATTCTTGTCAAAGGATTGAGAAAACTACTACTTGTGTCAGCTATCAAGGTATCGAACAGAATCCCTTCTAGTATTGGTTTGACGCTAACCGACAGATTCCCAGTAACGATTACATGTGTTGTTGAACTTCCTGTATGAAGGCGATTGTGCCGGTGACAATGGAATTATGGAATGTACAGTTTTACGCTAAAAAAGGTTCACTTTACAGCGTTATGTTTCATGTTCCTTAGAGCTTGCACCGTCCAGCCGAATATGTTCTGTGTCAAGTCACAATTACAAAACATGAATATTCGCGGGTGGAGAGTGAAATAGACGCCCTCCATGTCTTCATTAGCTGATTCAGAGCATTCCCAGGCATTACATTTCAACATATGTTTAATCTTTTATAGAAGTACAGTTTTTAATTGACTAATTAGACATTTGAAAGAACTGTGAAACACTAAACCTTCAAATGCCCTTTATGGTACCATGTTTCCAATGAAAAGAGTGGACCCTTACAAAAGAAGGTATTATTTTAATTGGACACTAGTAACTAGTGTGATGTGTCTAGTCCTTTCTTTGGTGCAGACTGAATTCTATCAGTCAGGTTTGCAATGTGGCCACCATTCTAGGTAGATCGCCATCACGGTGTACATTGAATTGATGATATTAGATGGTTGGATGTAATCGGCAGGAATCCTTCCAACTAGGTTTCGTGCTAGTTGGCACTCGCTAGTCAGCAAGGCGTATCTGCAACCTCGGAAGGAACTCATATCCCTTCTGAGATTCAAACCCGCGTCACCCAGTGATAGCTGCAGTCAGAGACGTTACCACTGAGCTACTCGGGCTCGCAATTGACCTCCTGTAGGACTGTAGGGTGACGCGGGTTTGAATCTCAGAAGGGATATGAGTTCCTTCCAGGAGGTTGCAGATACGCCTTGCTGATTGGTGAGTGCCATCTAGCACGAAACCTAGGTCCAAGGCTTCCTGCCGACTGCCTCTAACCATCTAATATCATCAGAAGGTAGTATTGTAACAACAAAAGACAAGGGCCAGGCAACAGATCCTTTATTAAGGAAATCAAAGCATATTTATATATTTTCATGTACATTATTATAGATTATTTAAGCAAACAAACACAGGCTTCTGATTGGTTGTTTCTCACTTAAAGTTAATCTTTCATCTCTTGTGACTGTTTCTGGAATGCCACATCATCTATATGTTAACAGTATCCGCCTACGCAAAGTCTGCTGTGATCGGTTTTGAATCAATCTTTGTTCATATTTTCTCACGACAAATCTTGAGCACGTAAACATTGACGTAAATTACTGTCTACCAATTTGGCTAGTAGACAGCTCTCATGACAGTATTATTATTATTACTGATTTAGATTCCGACTGGAACATAGAGATTCAACAACACAACAAGAGAGAGTAATTACCTATAGAAGTCTTCACTATTGCAAATTCTTATGAATCCTATTATCTTTAATCGTTACAAAAATTAGTAAGGTTCAAAACGTGACAACCATATCGATCTAAACTTAAAACTCAAAGGTTCAGTTTGTACAAAAGTAACTGACAGGTTTCATCACGCACTTATATCAGTCATGGAACCAACATGAAAACTAAGAATCACTAGATAACTGTTCTGCACTGAAGGTCTGAAATAAGAGAATGTGCTTAGATCAGGATACGTACTCTCATTGATGGCACTGGATAGTGGTGACACTATATGACGAGTCGATGAAAGCTGAAAATCACGGATAATCAGATGTTAACCGTGACTTAAAAGTAACACGATCAACTCTTAATTCAACCTGTTGTTATAGTCTCAATACTCAACGTGTACACTTATGAAAAATCTCAAACTAAAAAGAAACAGCTGTCTAGCAAGCACTCCTTGGCTTTTAGTGTTTCTCAAAATGAAAACGAATTCCTAGAAATATCTACTTCAAAAACTTCATTTACAGAAATTCTTTGTGGTTGGTAAAAACTTATCAAGATTAATAAAGTTTCATGGAAACATTTTATTACAGGGAGACAGATTCTCCCTTTTTTTGATAACACCCATCAATTTAATTCTACAATTAGATAATCATCATTTTTGCTATGATATGGAATAAAACCCATGAGATTCAATCGATTGATTTTTGGAGAAAATAAAAGTGAACTAGATTTTTCACAAGTATTGGCTTTCCCGGCAATATATATGTATATATACATTGAGAAAGACTAGAAATTTTAGAAATCTCGTATAGATCTTGTGATCCAAAAGTAAATTTAGTGATCATAAGACATTTGCTGATGCAGTTCAAAAATCAATGAAATAAAGGACACTTACCAATCATATGGATTCAGAATGTAGTATATATATATATATATATATATATATATACTGGTTAGTTTTACTACACTAATATATCCACTGAAGATACACTGGCAACAAATTTAGAGACGTTAATCGATCAATTACAGACACTTAAAAATGTTTTTGACTTTTGTCTGTTGTACGTATAATGTTGTGCGAGAAAACATAAAAGATTTCGGAATATCGGTATTTGAAATATAAGAACTTTTTCGAAAAATTAAAATTATCTTACAAAGCTACTTTTACTATTCAAAGACATGTGCAATAATAAAGAATACACAACTGGAATCGCTTTATACATGTATATGATCAAAAAGATTACGAAAGATTTTCACGATAGCCATGTTGCGTAAATAATTTCAAACAACTCTATAGCGGTGATGCTCATCTATAGGAGTCATTAGTAAAGATTAACATGAGAGACGAAAATTGTTAACAAAATTTAAAGCCTAATAACACACCACATTTATGAGAAACAAAAAGTGAAGTGAACATTTAGTTGGTGTTTACTGTAAGCAGATGGTAGATGTTTAAAGACAATTAATGGTGACTGTCTATGGGAAATATATTCAATAGTACATCAAAATGTGTGACTCTTTAGTAATGCAAAGTCTTATCTACTATGCAGCTTCACTTTTAAACGATACACTACACAATGAAATACCTTATTTTCATTTTTGTAATGTAAACCAAAATTGGAATATCCATACAATGAAAGACAAAAAAGAAACCAAATATCAAAGAAATTTTAAGTAATCTCCTAGTTAACCTACCCTGTAGAAACTTCCCACATCTTGATTGTCTTATCGCGACTAGCACTGACCAAGAAATCACCAGATGGCAGAAAAGCAACACTGGAAACATTATGGTCATGACCAGACAGCGTTTTAATACACTGATACATTGTAAAATCCCATAATTTTACTTGCATGTCAGCAGAACAAGAAGCCAAGAGCTTCCCTGTAGGATCGAACGCCACATCTTGAACAGAGTCTGTGTGACCTTTTAAAGTATGTTCAAATTCTCCAGTTTCGTAATCCCAAACCTATAGGGGTAAAGTGATAGGATATAATTAATTAAAAATTCACTAGAAAACAAACAACATATATAATGCAACTGCTTACTGGTATATGGAAATTAACAGTTACCCAGAGAGAACGCAACCACATCAAACAGTCAATGTAGGTGCGACAAAACATTTCTTAGCTAGCTACTTATAAAAATACAGATTGTCTTAGTATGCACCTTGAGGTAAGCTAAAAGCCACATACCTTCACTGATGAATGACAAAACTTTTAACCACCAATAAACACCGAAATACGTGGAATACAATAAGATAATGAACGGTGAATAAATTCCGTGTTTTGTAAGCTGAATCACCTTACCGAACAGTTTAGTATTTCATCAGATTAACAAAATACATCAGTCAACTGGTTTTATATTTCGTGCTACAATTTTACACAGGTTTTATTTTATTCTAGTACAACTATTTTTGTGGTTAGAAAATACACGTGTGACATCAATTGCAAGGGGAATAATTTGAAAAGACAGATCTTTTCTTATTTAAAGAAAACAGGTGTAGTTCCATTTGAATACGCATTAACCTATGCAGAACTTGTGCATTTCTCCTACTTTCTTCTCTTGCTTTGTGTGCTACATGGAATGTGGAGACTTGAACTGCCGCACATATGTGCAAAGTTCTATGTCGAAAACAGACAGACAGACATGAAGAACTTGAGAGAAGACTGTTATGAAAAGTTTGAATTATTCGCAGAATTATTACTGGCATCACAATTTATCTAGTTATCTTAACACGAAAGGTGAATGTGGTCATCAGGAAAAACCATTTACAAATACTTCAAAATTTCGTGAAAATTATTTCTCCTGCCACCATATCCTAGTGTTTATTTCAATGGCAGAAGTAATAAAGAAAAACTTAGAAAAAAGATAGACTGACATAGTGACAAGACTACATAGACCAAGAATTAGGAATACAAATGAAAATACTAGAAGCTGAAAGAATGGATAATGTGTGTCCCAACATTTAGCATCGTATACAACGATGGTGCACTGAGAACGAAAAATGAAACCATTAGTAAATAAGAGAAATAGATCACTGAATGTATTCAAACTATGGAAACAGTTTGCAAAATCTAAACATATGAATCGTGAGAACATCGATCAACGTGTTTTTTCTTTTAAATCAGATCAGCTTAAAGTTTAAAAAAATCCATGTTAGATAGCAAGTGGATTCTGATAATACGAGTTAGTGGTTTTCTCGTAAAAGCATATCTACTGTACTTCTTTTCTGAACGATAAAATGAAGATTGCTACCAGTGACAGTCTCGATCAGATGGATCGAGATAGTCAGAAAAGACAAGCAATAAAGAATTCCAGTAGAGAACCAACCAAGAACCTATCGCCCAACAAATATGCAGAAGGAAATGGATCAGACAGACGCTAAGGACACCGTCGGATGACATCACAACTCAAGCCCTTGGTTGGAACCGGAATGAGAAACCAGTCGGGAGTGAGGGTGACACTGTCTGTCTGTTTTCGACATAGAACTTTGCACATATGTGCGGCAGTTCAAGTCGCCACACTCCATGTAGCACACAAAGCAAGAGAAGAAAAGTAGAAGAAATGCATAGTAGAGACAGTAAACAGAGGTGTGAGACAAAGGAATAGTAATAACGAAGAACAAAGCAGTTTCATTGGAAATCATAAGTTACAAGGAGTGGATGCATCTGCGCCACTGAGAACGATTTTGAGCCATGTCACCAATTGTTTCCAACCATTGGTTTTAACAGTCCCGAGGACCCAAAACAGGAAGTCTACACCTTCCTACATGGCTTAGACTAACTGTTGTAGATTTCATTGACTGGTGCCATGTTTTCGTTTGACCGCCGCTAGCTCTTTTCCAGCCTGACCCTATATCAGCTAACATTGCCCGTCGAGGAAGGCGATGACATGTCCTAACCATCTCAGTCGATCTAATTTCACAGCCTCGTCGACTGATTTCCCCGCTTTACCTAGCACTCGACGGCTAAACTCAATATTGCTCACCTTATTATACCACTCCACACGATAGATAGAACGCAGGCACCTATGCTCAAAGATAGCTAGTCTTTTCATGTCTTCCACTCTCAATGGCCAGGTCTCAGCCATAAAGGAGGACGGAGCGAACTGATGAGCAGTACACACGCCCTTTGGTCGATAGTCAGATATCACGTCTACGCCAGAGAAGGCGTAAACTGGCATATGCGAAACTAGCCCTGTGTATTCGTACTGAGATTTCGTCAGAGATCAACCCGTTGGGGCTGATGGTACTTCCCAAATAAGTGAAGCGGTCAACCTGCTCTGCCACTTCACTTCCTATTTCTAATCTAGGGGTCGGTGTAGTCTAATCTTGCAACATCATCTTATATTTTACAGGGGCGAATCGCATGCCAAACATACGAAGATTGCTGCTCAAGGGGTTCAGAAGACTCTGCATTTTGTCAGCGTCCTCGCCTAGAAGGACTATATCGTCTGCATATTCTAAGTCAACGAGATTATCCCATGGTAGCAAGTCAATCCCTGAGTCGCTGAAGTGAGTTAGGGTTAAGTCCATTAGTACATCTATGGTGAAATTGAATAGAAATGGAGATAGCGGGCATCCCTGACGGACACCACTAGTCGTCACCACTTCAGATGACAACTCACCGTAAGCCCTCACCTGGCTGCATGAGTACGAGTAGAGTGCCTTAATCAGTGCAATGTATTTTCTCAGCATTCCCTTTACAGCCAAGCATCGCCAGAGAACCTTTCGGTCGACAGAATCGAATGCCGCCTTTAGGTCAAGAAATATAATGATTCTTGGACGCCGGTAGGAATGCCTATGTTCTAGAATCTGTCGGAGGATGAAGATATGATCAATACACCCTCTTCCTGGTCTAAAACCTGCCTGGTTTTCTCGTGTTTGTGCCTCCAGAGCCCCACTTACTCTGCGTAATATTATTGAGCCTATTACTTAAGATCCTATATTAGTCAAGCTAATGCCTCTGTGATTATCACAGGAAGACTTGTCTCCCTTCTTGTATATCGGGATGATCAGTGACTTATACCAACCAACTTCCTCTGATTCCCAGACGCTGCCTAGACAGTAAACTGTCTCCACCGCACTTAAATACCTCTGGAGTCATTCCATCAGGTCCCGCTGCTTTGCCTTGCTTCAGATTAGTGACATCCTCAGTAACCCCAGTTAAGGACGGAGGACCTGTGTCTATATCCCATTCAAGGAGGTGTTGGATGTTCGGCAGGTTAAGTGTGGCTGTAGGCCAATTAAACTGCTCCTCAAAGTGTTCTTTCCAGCGTTCTAGTCGTCTATCTCGGGACATAATTATGGCACCATTTTTCACAGAGATTGTTTCACTAATCGTTTGCCTTTTGCCACCTGTTTCCCTCATAAGCCTGAATAGTTGTCTGGTGTTGCCAATCGCCGATGCTTTTTCCATCTCTTTCGCTTTTGTCGCCCATCACTGTTCACGGTCGTTACGAAGACTTTTAGTCAGTCTTCGTTTAAGTGCCTTTCGCTCCTCATCATAATCGGAGCTCGCTAGAATCAGTCTTTTTGCGTCAATCAGTTCGGATGAGGTGGTAGAGATCCAATGGCTTTTACTAACTTTAGGTTTTAGCTTATTAACAGCTTTCACAGCTAACTGTTTGTTGTGCCAGGCTACCTCGGGGGAAGTCCTGCTGTCGACCTCAGAAACTCGTTTAGCTATTTCTTCCTTAAATAAGGATCGATCTAGTTGGGGACACGGAGGATACAGTGTGTAGAGGAAAACGAAACTCTGGGCAATCGTGGAGCCAATTAAAAAGGATAACAGAGAGGACAGTGAAGTGGTAATGTGTTGTAGAAGCCCTATGTTCCACTCGGAACCCAAGGGAATAATAATAATCGATAGTAATGAAAATGATATTTAGCAATAACTAGTAGTAGTATACAAGTAGCAGTTAGCAAAAAGGCAGAACAGAATAAACTGACTTTGATTGAGGCATCTTCACTTGCTGAAACAAAAACGTTGTAATGAGGATGAAACAATACACGCGTTATTGGAGAACGATGGCCTGTGAGTGTAAATTTAGCTGGAGGCCTAGGGATAGCATCAACATCACGCCGATCCCCCTTGTCTGCAAGTCCACTTCCAGGTGCAGCACCTGCTATACCAAATCCGGCATTGCTTTGCATCAGTTGAAACTCTTTTTCAGCTTCGTTAAGTTTAGCCTCTAGATCCATTACCTGTAAAACAAAACAAAAACATGTCAAATTATAATGGACAATATCGATAAAAATGAACCTAGCTCATCAATCATATACGACGACAGCTAATCACACTTCGTTCCACTAACATGACACACATCAAGAAATTAGTAGCAAAAGCAATAAATGTGTTGTTGATCATCCAAACGAGGTGTAGAGAGTACAGAAAACAACTGTATCTAGAAACCATCTCTCAAGTAAAATTATCAATGAGCGCTGCAGGTTTACGAAACAAATCAAACACTACATCAAGTGGTCAAAAGGAAGGACTACAATAACTCGTGAAATCAAATGGTTGCTGAAGGGGCAGAAGGAAAACCACACGTATAAACAGAAATACCAGATAACAAGGTGACCAAAAATTAAAACACCTATTGAGCCATTTACTGAAAATAAAAATATTCTTGATCTTTACATTGCTAAAAAGATCGTTCTACGAAACGCGGGTTTCACTAAGCAATGGTCAAATGCCGAAGTCGTCGGAAACTCCGTAGAAAAATAGTTGACACCTATAAGTAATTGCATGATAAAGTCATATTAAAGTATTAACTTAACAAACACTAGTTTGCACAGTAGTCATGAGATCGAAAAAAGACTAAGGTGGCCATGCAAGAAGTTCGCACTAAAAAGGTGTACTAAGTTCCCCTTTTGACTAGTTACCCCACTACAGGACATCCGAAATAACGAGATGAAATTTTATCTCTCAGTAAGGAAATGCAATTACTTTCAATAAAGTTTAAGCATACTACAAGATGTCATAAAGGTTATTGATTGAGTCAAGACACGCATAATATCTAAAAATAGCTACCCCCAAGTTAGGATATCTGAAAGTCAGCTAAAGACTGAACTTTTGTGGGACATAATAACTTGGAAACTTTATTAGTTGAGCAATCTTCCCCCCATGGTTATTCGAACAGGATTCTTCCTGATCGAAGATTAGGATAACCGAACCACACATGGCATCTAAAATTTTCCTGACTGATATATTAGTTAGTACATCAGCATAGCTAGTAACTAAGTATTTTTACGGCAGCTCACAGTGATTTATTACCTTTTCAAATCATGTAAAACCTCAAGTTAATATCTTCCAGCTGAATATAAATGAAAAGTAGGGGAAAATGACAGCGAACTAATCAGAACTTTATTCTAACGTTTGTAGACCACCACGTCATTTTTATTAGCCACAGAAGACTTGCAGAGATGTGGTTTACCGGGCCAAACAATGTTTTCAGTCAGTATGTGAAGGGTTCGAACACCTATACATCTACTTCACCCTGTGTCACTCGGCGCATGGACTGATACATAAAAGATCTGTTTCAGGTGGCAGTTTGAACAAATAAATGAGTAACTTTCAACCACTCATTATCTGCTACTCTTTTACCTGTGTCTCCTACGAGAGTTAACAGTCACAATGTAAACTGCTCTAGCTCAATTTTCAGAAAACTGCCGATTGTATATCATTTATTATGAATAAAATCCCTACAATAGACACCAAAGATTAATTTACAGAATATGACACAAGAGGTAAAGATAACAGAATTAGTTCAACTTCAAAAGATAAGTATTAAGCAGAATCAATCATGCGCTCATCATCATACATTACTTTTGATAGTGGAAGAAACAATATGGTCACCAACAGTTCTGACTGTGAGACATATCGGTTATTAAAATGAGCTACTGAAAAGCATGACCTCTGAAACTATATTCACAGTTACGACTCACCTGCATATGCTAGTCAATCTAACATGACTAGCCTTCACCTCATGCTGCCACATTATGAGCTGACTGTTTCTCACCTACTTAGAACCAGACGCAACCAGGACGACAGCTGGTTCAGCAACATTTGTAACACAGTTCCCAGACAGGTTGATATGGCAAGGTGGAACCACTTATTGAAAAAGTCAAAACTAAAAACCACCCATACAATGTTGCCAACAAGAGCATACACTACAGATAACCACCTGACACCATCATAACTACCTCCAGAAAGTCTTCAGTGATGCAATTAAAATTAGGCGGAAAAATTTTCCCCTGCTACCGTTTTGCAAGAGTGATGACGGCATTAGTGTTTGGAGTGGTCATGTATGGAACTTCCCTGTAACGTCTCCAAAAAAACAATTTTAAAGACCAATCCTTTTTAACGAATAGAAAAGTAGCCCGGATATCAAGGAACAGTACTGTTAACCTGTCGAACGTGTGTTTAATCAACTGAAAGAAAGTGAACAAATCTTCAATGCATCTTAACCTAAACGGGTCTTCTGACACAAACATACTATGTCAATCTTACAGAGGTTTCATGTGATTGATTTCAATGAGGCATACAAAGGGCTCTGCAATCACACAAACCTAATCAATCTTCTGTTCTGGGAAAATAAGGTATCAACACATTATGTTCAAGTGGAATGGGGTTGAATATTCCTGCATGTTACAAATTAAATACAAAACATATCTGATCGTCATTTGCAGTCTTCACTATTCGTATTCACCTTTACGTTTACGAGCGAAAATATTATTTCTGTCAATAAAAGCAGGTACGCTGCCAGACTAATGACATAAGCTAAAGATGACTCGTAATAGACGGAGGCCACTGCATTTGCTAAAACTAATTCCATCAGGAATGAAAAGACCTGTGCACGGAGAAGTGCTCACAAGACTTTACTGAGCATAAAGTTTATGCTAAGTGAAGTAGCCAAGCATTTGCCTTAGAATAATAACATTTCCATCTGTATTACACTTATCACACTAACATGTAGAATGCAACAAGTAATCAAATATTATGAAGAAATCTACACACATTTTTATGGACATTGAAATGAATACAGATGTCCAGTGCCTTGAAAGGAATAGACCATTTAGTGCTTCCAAACAACAGTACAGCAGCTGTCAAATACATACTCCAGAGAGTTGTGATAACACTGATATTGGTCACTAAACTTTGACGAGGTAATTAACCGGTCTGTTGTGATATTTAAACAGTTGATATTTGAGACGCCTATTGGAGCAAAGTACGTAACCGGGTGTTTCCAATCAATTTTTTTGGAAAACAATGTGTGAGCCGAACAGTAATTTCGCATAATTCACCATATATCTATACCAAAGACGACGATAACAAGTTATGGTGCAAATCCTTACGAGACTTGTTATTATCATAGCTTTTACGTAGTAAATTAAATAATCAAGTCGAATTATTTGTGGCACATCATTAATCTTCAGTGTTAAAGGACATTTACAACAATATCATATGATAAATGCATAGTGTAATTCAAAGTCACTTTAAAACTTAATCACTATATAATACAAGCTTTAGTTCGGTATTTTCGAACTTTCTACTTGATCTCCTATTCCTAACACTCAAGCTTAAGTAATAAACAGCTAACTACAAATTCACCTGCTATAACACGAAAAACTACGGAATATACCGACTGACCTTTTTCTGAAGTCGAATGACAGACGTCCACTTTTTTTCCAACAGGCCATCATACTTCTTATCATTTTCTCCTGCCTGAAGTTAATATGAACTGTTAACAAGTACATAATTTATGTACTTACCAACTGCGATTCTTCCCTAAAGGCATCTAACGCCTTGATATATCCATTTGAAAATAAGTAGTCGGCGATAGCTCTATTTCTATATACTGAAATGAGATATTTCAGACACCTACAGCTCCTCTTTTTGACGCTGAGCTAAGACCATTGGAAAATCAATCACTGAAACAAATCAGGCAGCAGAAACACTCCGTCAAGACTCAGTGACTTTTTACCGCAAAAGTGTTCCCAGTAACTGCAGCGAAAATTGCACCGAATGTTAGACGACGGAACAGCCGAAAACAACCAACTTCTAAAGCCCGCCCGATTGTTTTATTGGTTACTTTCTGAAAAGAGCTCCCACATTTCAGTACCCTGAACACACTGTTAATGTTATTCACTTCAGCCCTACTTTCCATTAAAAAAACTTTCACACAAAATTAGACCATTAAACATAAGCAATGAGTCCCATTCCATTTAACATCTAGTACCTGTGTGATCCAACACGAATCGGTGACAGCTATTAAAATTTTTCTAATTCGATTGTGCTAATTTCAGCGTGTGTTGTAGTTTTAACCTGCCAGTGGAGAAGCGTGAGATTAATTCCAGGACAATAAACTTTATCTGGAATGGCCCATGTCTTGTCATATTGTCGCTTATTAAAAGTGGGTACGAAACATACAATCTGTACGCAAGGGCCTAAAACAACTTATCATCTGAAAATAAAAATAATAGAGGAATAAACTAAGCGACAAGTAGGAGTGAGTAGAATTCTTAGGTAATTTTTGGCTCTGACACATTTTTCAGGTTAGCTCGGATAACTATGGTCTGCGAGATACCACGTATTCATCCCTAGCACAACAGATCTGCAGAGTAACACCATATAATCCCTCATAGTTTTTCCCGCAATTATTCTCTTTATGTACGTCCATGTCCTGCTTTTCGTGAGAATAACAGAAGCCAATGGAAAAAGTAAACTGCGTCTTTACGACTCCATTTATTACAAGTCGACGTGTGACGTACCAATAACAAAACAAGCAAGCCATTATAATCAACCATTTAGAGTTAAACTACCGAAAGGACACTGTTGTTCTCACGAAAGGTAGGACATGGTGGTACGTAAATAGAACAATTGTGGGAAAACGTGTAAGTAAATAGCAGGAAGAGAAGTGATCCTGGATGAGTTTTCCACTGCATACAGTCTCAATGGAAAACCCTTGCCGTTGCGCGACCACCAATCTGTGATTGTTTTAAGTAATCGGTATTCTTCTAAGAGGTTTCATGAAGGGCAGCGTGACATGAGATAGAATAAAAAGTCCTGATAAAGTTCATGAACACCATATGGACGAAGGCAATATTCCATACATCAGTCTTTGGTCACTTGCAACAGGCGTTTCGAAGGGATACAGTAAATTTTCTCCTCAGTCACCTCGAACCTCATGAAAAGTATTGCTTTCATCTTCGGGTAATTCGACCGACCAGTACATCCTCTTCAGTTTCCAAACTCTCAGTAACACTACAGTCACCACATTTCTTCCAGTCTTTTGTCTGTCTCACCAAGTGAAAACCGGGTGTTGGGTGGCATGCTTCATGAGGTGCTCTTGTAGACGGTTTTTGTACACTCTTTTGAATGCAGAAAAATGACACGTTTTGTATAAAAATAATCTTTGAAAGTTATGGACTGAAATTCTAAAAACATGTGTTTGCAGAAACATTATCGTCTTAGATAGTAGCTGAGGCTCGGTTAATATTGTATTGCCGCTCTCTAATAGTAATATATTTACCTCTATCTTTGCAGGAAGACACCAATTGTACAGGCATGGATAAGTATTATTTAAATTCAGGCACTGTCCTCACCTTGGCCATCAAGATTTTAATGATCCTCAGTTTCTTGTGCAAATCCCCGTTATTTTATTTGGTATTCTATTTTCCATTACATTTTTTATGCTTATCATAGTTTACGCATCTGTAATTCCATTGATATCACTTGACAAACCGAGTTTTTAAAAAACAGCAATATTGTTAATGACGACTATTTAGAATTTTCGTAGAGCCACAGGAGGAAATTATCGAAAAGGATATTCTTTGCCCATTTTCTTTTTTCCCAGATTGCACAAATTTGGCCTTTGGTGAATTTACACGGTTGCCGTTATTTTCACTTTAGTTTGTGGGAATAGCCTGCTAACCAGTCAGTCAATGTAGCATATAAAGAAATGCAAAAATACTGTCTTCTCATTAACAAAAACACCCAGGTCATTTTGGGTGGATCACAGATACTTGGGAAAAAAATGAAGCTTGAAGTGAGTTCCCTTATATAACTTTTCTGTGTACCGTATCGAACCTCATTCTTGATTTATATTCAGATGCTGTGTTAGTTCAAGGTGAGTAGCATATTTTCATCACTTCCTCGTCAGTATTATCTCAGGGTACCATCAAAAGGTAATTTTACTCCATGAAGACAGATGTCGACCATAGTCAGGCAGATTCGTCTTACTGCACCAGAAAGATGACAGTCCTCCAAAGTCGGCCATTATCGCCACTTGTAGCTGGATGGCAGTTCGTACGCATAAGTTGATTAAGATGCAGAAAACAGTTTGGAAACCAGTTGCATCTCCATTTTAGTTCGTCAGTACTGCTCGTACAAAGTGTTATTCAGCGTCTTAAGGTGGTGGCTCGGGAGCTTTCAAGGGTGCTGAGTTATTACGAGCCAACAGCTTGAGGAATGATATGGTACATGTAAGTGAGTGGCTTCAAGTCCTGTTTAACTTCATCCTCACTGTAGGTCTGTGCGACTTACACTAAAAGGCAAAGCGAAAAGAAGAGGCAGCCAACAAAGCACCAGAAAAAGAAAAGTATGTGTCTGTACGTATACATGCTTATATACTTACCAGGTAGGAGCAGCACAAACCCCCATATGTACTGCGTCACCACAGACTTCACCAGAAGGTATGACCACTGGCAACGGCTGTCTAGGCTCTCAATCGTCTACTGTCAGTTCTCCGTACTTCTACCTAATTCTCGGTCTATTTATAACAAACTACTCTGTTTTGGGTCTTCAGATCATTTTACTAATCTTTGTTGCACCTTGATAACAGAACCCTGGTGCACGTCATATATATAAAATTCAGCTCCTAATTTAGACGGATATAATACCTATCGTAATGACGGTAACGCGACTAAGGGTGGAGGGTGCAATCAATCTTCTCCACGCACGCAAACATGGGGTGACAACTTGACAACACGTGTTTCCAGTTATTACCTTGATTATGCATTTGACAGCTGTTAGAAAAGTACTTAACAATTTTCAAGAGGAGACGCCTATTTGGGAAGCTTGTTGCTACCCACCAAATTTCCCCAAGTGTTTCTGAAATCGCAATGCAAAAAGGAATCATACACGCTAAAGCTTACACACGTCAACATCTCATTCCTGATGAAAAGCTGGCGAAATAAACGTGTGAACCATTTCATTGTTAGATCGAATATTTGAATACCAAATCATATAATCATCATACATTAGCATAAGCCAGTTTAAAACAGAGACATTCATATTCAAAACCAAAATTAAAACGCCGTTTTCATGTCTGATTCTTTCAAACATAAAGGATGTTACACTATATAATAATACATCTGTGTGAAACATAAGGCAGTGTAACGGATTACAGTTGCTGTTTCAGAATTATTACTAATCGGTACTACAACTCGGTCATTTACGTCTTAGCTCGAAATATGTGATATTCTCCAATAAGGTTCTATTTTATTTATAATACTATATCTCTGTCTAAAACACTACCATAATAATCCTGTGGATATTACCTATTTATGGATGAGAAATGTCCAACGATAGATGCCGCTGCAGAATTACTGTTAATGCTTGTAATAACTCAATATTTCTTACTCAAGTATGACAATTAGAGTTACTAATGGTATCTCGATTACTATTATTGATGTAGAAAGCTTGCTTTATGATTATTAAACGACCTACTATACTCACCATTTTTAACGTACATTTTGAGTACTGAGAATAGTGGATGCACTTGAGGATTAATTCTAGGTGGAAAAAGCTGTATAAAATTGTTTCTATAATCATTTCAGTAATATAACTTCAGTTGTACATATAATCTCAGAGGTATAAAAGACGATTATGAATTAGAACTTCGGTTTGTATTGTTATATGCCATACATTGTTGACGCCTATAAACTGACGTCTCTCATGTACCAAAAACACTGAGAACAAATATTGTCTCCGAAAGCCGTGACAGTTGAATGTGTAGATGATGGAAGGAAGTTCGTGATCAGACCCTTAGAATATTTTCCGACATATGATTATCAACTTTAGTTAGGTTGCTACAGTACTTTTGTGAGTCTTGAAACTCCCCAAGGGTAGTGTATCACAGCATGGTCTGCGAAATTAGGTGTACCATCAGTGTTTTTGAGTGTATGTATTTGTGCGTGTAGTTTAGTGTCGTTATTTATAGATAACCCGTGTGGAAAAATGGCTGCAGTGTTTTGAGCGGATGTATCTTGCACCGCATAATTCGTCGTGTTCACCTCTGAAGTTGCTTTGCTGCCTTCTGTCTTGACATGCTGGGACTTGCGTATGTTGAAGAGGCGATATGCTGACAGCAACGAGAGAGATTTGGCACTCTGGGGTAACTAAAAGTGGCAGACTACATAGTTTGCGTAAGTGCTATGCATTCAGGGTTCATGCATGCAAAGCATGGTCATGATGTATTCTTCTAAGCGCGGCCCACACGCCAGGGAGCTGAACAGTCGGCAGTCCAATCTCGCATACTTCACTGTTACTAGGATCAGTGTAGAATATGAGGCAAGTGATAGCAGGTATAACTAGTACTGGGCACACAAGAGATTGCACGAAAAGTACGATGTGGTTCTGCTGTGGTCATGTTCGTTTCTGTAGAAGTCATTGTAGCATGTGGCGTCCGTTTAATAAAGTGACAAAAAGAAGCCGCAGCTCGAGGTTGATTCGGTGTGAGCTTTAACATTTTTGGCAGAATTGCGTGCGTCGTCATCGATGACAAAGAGTGTGCACAGATGTGTGGCGTGGCCATTCCTGTTGTCTTTTGTCTGTTCTGCTTTGCTTTCCATTTCAGCCTTCCTCCTGGTGGCCAAATTTTCCCACTGACAGTCAGGTCAACGTACAGTGGTCATAAGGGGGAAGGGTTGGATCTCGTTCTTTCCAGGGAGTGTCAGTTTTGGCGAACTCTGAATGAGCAACACACGGTTTGTTTATTCAACCGGGCCTCCAGTTTCGCGAGGGGCAGTAGTGATGGCCGTAGCCTGGTCATTCGCCGTTTGACAAAAAGCCGGGGCAAAATGATCGAAAGTATTATTATG